AAAACAAACGAACCGCTAGCCTTCCTAACATGGCACCTGCAGGGTACCTGGAAGATCAGGTGCCAGGCTGGGAGGGAGAGTATCTTGCTTGCCCAAAGAACCTGTTATTGCCCGCCTCTTCTCTGTGGCGCGTAGTCGGCGCGAAGGGGCTGAGCGTGAAGGAAAGTGCCTCACAGGCGTCGCGGGTGTGGTCGGGGCGCTGTGACTAGAAACCACCAAACCCTCCATTCAGTTCCAACCCCACCAATTTAGCACTTTTTTTGGGCAAATCATTCTCACCAATTTACCTGACTTACTTCCGCCGACCAGAGCTCTGCCGTCTTTTATCCAGAGGGGGCCGGCCTGGCATGAAGGCTCGTCTAGCTTCCAGTCCCAGTCCCAGTCCGTCCTCAAACCGGTCCGGAACTCAGCCGCAGCGCAGTCCCAGGACTGGTCGCAGGACTCCCAGGACTACGGTTTCAGAACCCAAAGAAACGGAGCTCCCGTGTTTGCGCGCTTTGGCTGCTTGGAACCCACACACCAGTGAACGGACGAGATGTGTGCGGCAGGCAGCCACTGCGCTTTCGCAAGGCTATGTGTCGAGTGCATGGCAGGCGCGACACTTCGCAAGCTTGTATACAGATTTCGTTGCAGGCATGTAAGTTTCGCATGATCAGGCACAGGTTTCGTGGCAAACATATAGCGCTTTGCAAGGACAGCGCACTTTTTGCAAGGTAAAGGTCGACAACACAAATGCTCCCAGCCGAACCGTTATCTTCTCCTTCCACGTGTCAAGAGCCCAATGTGACCTACGCAAGAAAGACGTCTTTTTCCCTACCCCAAATTCGAGGGGCGCTGCGGCCCACGTCAGGGGGGCGTTGTGTGTGTGTTCTCCTTCCATGCGACCTACGCAAAAGAAAAAAAGACGTCTTTGTTCCTACCCGCGCCACGCGGGCTTTCAGCCGCATGGACTTTCCTAGCATGCAGACGGACTGCTGAAACTCGGCGGCAGGCGGACCGGAAGTCACATGGGTGGCTGGGTGTTCCTGGTGGCCGGCTGTGTCGCGTCAGCGTTTAGGTGTTTGACTCAAGCTCATTCTGATTCTTTAGGCCAAATGGACTGCCAGAGGCGACCTTCCTGCAGGTCAAAAACAAGAGAATGCTTGATGGGTATAAACTTACTTGCTACCCTACCACCAACCTGAAACCCACAAAATCCCTAGAGAAACAAGGTTTGCAAGAATGCCCCCGTCAAGTTCCAGAGGGGAAGCATGTTGAACATGGTCTAACATCCTGAGTCATCACCTGGCAAGTTCCTGAGTACTCACCTGGCAAACAGCTTGGCTTGCCCATGACACAAAGAATCAAATGAAATTGGCTGTTTTTGAGGGTACCCCTCTTTGCTTTGTGTTTCAAGGGAAACGACAGGAATCCCACCCATTTTGGGGGGGGTCTCCTAAACTGCGAGGTCCCCTTCTAAAAGTGTTTATCTTTGAGTGGGTGAACCATTAAACCAACTAAAAAGATCTAAACAAAAAGAAGAACAAGGAGCCAGATGGCTGGGAGCCAAGAAGAGCAGACCCACCTTGACCTTCCGCAACTTGCAACCCGCTGGCGATCCGTCGCCTCTCCCCAGATCGCCAAGGCTGGTAGCGCGAGGAGGAGCGGTGCGGTTGTTAAGGTTGGCGTGCGCGTGCGCCTGCGGTCCAGGGTTCCAAGTCTTAGCTACCGCATATGGCTTAAATCCGGCGGTTGCTTTCTCTGAAAACGAAACCTGGTTTGAGTCTACCCTGCAGTCAAAAATATGGAACCCTGCCCATTTCTGGGGGAATAAATCAAAGTCAGAAACTGGGTGCCGGGTTCCCTTTCACCTACCACTTGGGTGACTTTGATACAGAGAAGAATGGAGCCAGCCATACTCCCCGGAGTCGTTTTTTTCAGCGAGCCCGAAAAGGGGATCGAGCCCTCCAAAAAGAGAGATTCGATCCGCAGGTGGAACCGGGGGTTCCCGGTGTTCTTGCTAGGTCTAGCAGAGAGGTTCGAATAAGGGTAACAACTTTTTTCTGTAGTCTATTTTAGTAGGGGAACCCTCCTCCCCAAAAAAATGAGAAAGGGCACTACTGCGGGACCTAGACTGTTTGAAAGTCTTGGAATGAACCGCCAGCCCCGGAAAGGCCCTCGATCCGCAGTTGGGTTTTCCTCAGCCTCGACAAAATTTGACAAGCTTAGGCTTGAAGGAGGACGCTCTACAACTTCTAAAGGGCAAAATGCAAGGTGAGGTTAGTAAGAGTGAGAGTAGGTTGGGGTTTAGGTTGGGGTTTAGGTTGAGGTAGATGAACTACATTGCAGCTCTCGGTGCAATGACATAAACTGAGGTTACGTGAGATGAAACGTGCTTATTCAAGGCAGTGGACGTGTGGGTTCTTAAAATAGGGGTACAAATAAGTCATTTTCCTTTGTCACTTGAAAACCAACCCCGCCCTCGGAAAAAGGAACCCGACCCGTGTCAGCAAAGGCTCTCTGTATCCGGGTGTAATTTACATGGATTGTCTGAGGCGGCTCAAACAATTCCACTGATTCTCATGATGGCTTCACTTGGTTTTTTAAGCGCCCTGCAACGACATTCTGTGGAATCTCATACCAGCTTTGATGTCTGGTTCAATTGTTGCGTCTCAAAGATCTGTGAACGTCTTGAGCCTGTGACTCATGTTCCAAAAGGGGCGGCTTGTAAACCAGAAGCCAGGACGGCACTTCAACCTCTTGGACATTTTACGGTGCCCAAGCAATCCATGGTAATTTATTATACCCACATTTACCCTCGTGGATTGTCTGGGATTGTTCGCCCTCTTTCCAGTCACCAAGTGCGCCAGAGGGTTTGAAAGGCTACTGTCATGTGAAAGGTTCCTCTTCACTTCCGTGACTGTCCTTACATTATTCTAAGCGGGCCCAGCTTCTCCTGATGTCAATGGTGGTTATCCGGTTGACCAGTCAGTACCGGGATGCTCCAACTGTTTAGAAAGTTGCGCATAAGCATGGCTGTCAGCCAACCAGCCCATATTGTTCCGTTTAAAAAATGTTTTAACCTACTTGCTAAGGTTAAACATGGGTATCTGTCGAATTAAAACCTCCAAAAACGGAAAACTGACAACTTCTTTAGTTCCCTTTTAACAATACATGAGAAGGGCACCGACTCCAACAACCGCCCGGTCAACAAGTCCGGTCAAACCCTGGCGACTGATTTTGGGGCAAAGAGGTTTGCCCTGAATGCCAAAGGATGCCTCGGCTGTTCCGCTCAACCAAAAAAACATATTGTGTGAACCGTAAAACATACTATACATATAAATACACAGTGAATGTTGTAAATGTTGTTGTTGTACATGGTGTAGAAAATAGTAGGTCATAGTGCAACTGTAGATCACAGGGGGCCTGTTGCCATGTGTGTAAATATATGCTCATACACCTACACGTGCTTAGGTTCAACATGGCTACTGTGTTTAGATCCATATATATATATATATCCGCCTGCCTTTAGGTTCAACTTGGCTGCTGTAGAAACAACATGGCGAGTGGCCCTACTATAAGGGTGTTGACTGATGTTAACCGGGGGGTGACCACTTAGACTTTGCCAACGCCCCACTTCGCTCTCGCCTTGCGTCCGCCGCAGGACAGGGGCCGTTGCCCGCCATTTGTAGAGTGTCCATCGGTGGGGGGTGGGGAAGGAAGTGGCCTCTGCAGAAGCCAGAGCCAAGTTGCGGCGGCCGTGTGATACCCAGCTACCCCGAAGTTCCGGAAAGTGATTTCTCCTCGATGCACCCCCAAGGAAACTCCCGTTTGATGGGTTGTAATGTGATAAAAAGACCTCCTTAATCGCACTATCAAATCACTTTAGAATTCTGCCAAAGGAAAGCGTGAATAATCCGAAAAGGGACAAACATACTGCATGTGGATGGACGAAATCCATTTCGCACCACTTTGAAACCCTGGTTGACACCATACCGTTTGCTGGTATTTACGTTGGGGAATCAAATCGTTCCCTTGGTTGTCTGAACTGTGGCCCGATTTCTGGATTTCGCAACCATCCACAGGTCAGTTGGAAACCCAGACCCAGCGACCCAGCCTTCCCGGGCACCGGTGGTCTTCTCACTCCGATCGCTTTTGGCGAACGCTTTTCCGAAGACCCAAACGCTTGAAGGGAGTCAAAGGCTCTGAATTTGGATGGAACAATTCTCATGGGGCTCGGAACGACGGAAATACGAGGGGCTCCAAAGATATTTGCCAGCGGTGGATCCTTCGGCGATCTTCCAGCTTTTCTCCGGGGAAAAATGTGGTTTGGGTTGAAGCATAGATTTTCCCATAGTCAAAACTACGTGGATTGCACGTACACCATCCACATCCAACTAGAAACCTGACACACTCTTACAGATTCACATGAAGCCCAATAAAAGGGTCTTTGCTGAAAAGGAGCTTACAGCTTCCTCTGCTTAATGACTTAAGATGCTTTTCTGGGCTCCATGTTTTTTTGTAGATGGAGAAACATCGGAATTGATTCTGTAGCGCAATCCGAGCTCGCTTTCCAACTCAGTGAGGTCGCCCTGATCAGTGATAGGGAATTTGTCTGGCCGAATTGAAGGGAACACCAACTAGAAAAAGAGCAAGCATTGGCAAACACATTCATCCAGGCCGTACCAATCAGGCGTGGCAAGCCCCCTATCAAGCAACGATCAACTTTCAGTCCCTCTGTTCAACCTTATCCTGTCGATTGATCCCAGGACGAGATTTTGTCACAGCAGGGGTTCAACGGAGGGCTCGCCTATGAATGGCTCAGTTGGGTTCACCTTAAGTACTGGGCTGTCCTCAGATCCCCTGCTAAAAGTCTAAAAAGCTATGGGGATGGCTGGAAACCACCAATGTTAAAGGCGCTTTTCTTGAGATTCTCTGTCACTTTACAGACGTGGGTGAGAAATTTGCGCTGCTCCTGGCTGTTCGGGACCCACCCGTTGGCAAGGACCCGGGACCCGGGCCGCCGCGAAGCGCAAAGCGCCCCGGCACTTGGGCCGGGTCTGGCCACGCAACACAGGGGTTCCTTAAAGGACACATCCGACACTCAAAAATCCAACATGAAAATGGATGAGTGCCCCAAAATCCCCTCGGGTATACTTTGAGGGTGCAACAACCACCCGTTTTGCAAGAACATCCTCCAAATCACCTGACTGGGTTGCTTGCTCCACCCAAACGAGCAAAGGGTCGATCACCTCACTGGCAAAAAGCGATTTGTTTCCAACGCTCTCTCCTCTAAGGAGCCCTGCGCCAAATGTCCGAAGTGCCCAGCCAGTCTGAGACGGGACAAGTCAAAGGCCCAGAGTGGCAAGTCGAATTCCTGAGATCAACAGTGCGTGTGTTTGTGTTGTTCAGGTTGGTTTCTGAAAAGAACACCCCAAGCCTTGCGTGGCAATTTGGTGACCGACCCCCTCATTTACCCAATAGCAGTTTGGCGATGTTGCCCCATGTCATCCCCCTTCCAGTAGATGATGGCAAATATGTCATTATGTTCTTCACATGGGGTGGCTGGTGCCCCTTTAAACTTCCAATGTGCGATCCGTGCGATCCGCTTTGCGGCAAAATAGATTACCGATTCCAAACCTCATGTGCGATCCGTGTCCAAAACTTGGCCCACAACAAAAGGGGTAGACACACACACACACACAAACACACAAACACACAATTACGCAAACACACAACAACACAAACACACAAACACACAAACACACAAACACACAAACACACAAACACACAAACACACAAACACACAAACACACAAACACGCAAACACGCAAATACACAAACATGTTTGTGTGTTTGTGTGTTTGTGTATTTGTGTGTTTGTGTGCTTGTGTGTTGGTGTGTTTGTGTGTTTGTGTCTTTGTGTCTTTGTGTCTGCGTGTCTTTGTGTCTTTGTGTTTTTTGTGCGTTTGTGTGTCTGCGTGTATGTGTATTTGTGTGTTTGTGTGTTTGCGTGTTTGTGTGTGTTGGTGTGTTTGTGTGTTTCTGTGTTTGCGTGTTTGTGTATTTGTGTGCTTGTGTGTTTGTGTGTTTGTGTGTTTGTGTGTTGTGTGTTTGCGTGTTTGCGCACACAGACACAAAGACACAAAGACACAAATACACAGAGACACAAAGACACAAACACACAAACACACAAAGACACAAAGACACAGAGACACAAAGACACAAACACACAAACACACACACACACACAAGCACGCAAACAACCCACAAATCCACCAACCCACAAACCCACAAAACCACAAAACCACAAACACACACACACACACAACCACACACAACAAATACACAATCACGCAACAAACGCGCAACCACACACACACAAACACACACACACACACACGACAAACACACAACAAACACACAACAAATACACACACACAAACACACACACATGCATACAAACACACAGACACACACACAAAAAGAAAAACAAAAACACAACAAACAGAACAAACACAACAAACACACAAAACGCGCAAAACACACAGACACACAAACAAACACACACACACACACAAACACACACACACACAAACACATACAAACACAAACAAACACAAACAAACACACACAAACACACACACACACACACACACACACACACACACACACACACACACACACACACACACACACACGCACACGCACACGCACACGCACACGCACACGCACACGCACACGCACACGCACACGCACACGCACACGCACACGCACACGCACACGCACAC